CACACCAATTTAATTTTTTATTATAACTAGGAAAAATATATATTTTTTATGTAGTTTCAGAAAGGACACCTGCTTTTTTCCACCAGCAGTAACAGGCATGAATTGACTTTTGGGAGTGGCTAGCAGATTTAAGAGCATTAGTAAATTGTACTAAAATAAATAAAACTTAAGTCCTCATTTTCATACAAACAGGTGTAATTGTTAGATGTTATAATTTGTGTGCTTCTTTTTTCACAGTACCACACAGCATTGTCTTTTAAATTAAATGTAAAAAGAGTTCACCAAAACACTTACGGGGTTATTCACAAAGCTGCTGAATGGGGCCGAACGATTGGCTATTCACTCCAGCTCAGTACTGCTATATACTAATCATTTACCCCTAGGCTCCTTAGCTAAGATGTAACCACCCTCTCCCCCCACCCCATTACAGCTCCATACTTTCCTCAAAGCCAGGTTGTCTTCAGTCCTTCATCTTCCTGCAACAAACAAATCATGGGCCGATACACTTTATTGGGAAATGAGTGTGCAGACATGGCCAGCACTAAGAAGATATATTTTGGTGTGAGACCCAGGAAACGAAGGACTAAAGAGGGCCTGGCCATTGTATTAAGGTAAGTATGGATCTTCAGTGGTTTCTTTTAAGTCAAGGAGCCTACAGACAACGAATGACTGTACTTTGTTTAAGGATCCTAAACTCATAACTGCCAAACATTTTTGTAACTAAATTCTCTTATTTCCATTTGCTTTTAGCTCCAGAAACTCAAGAAATCCCTTTCCTTCAAGACCAAGAGCATGCGGAGTAAAAGTGCAGACAATTTCTTCCAAAGAACTAACAGTGACATGAAATTTCAAGTAGATTTGGAGCCAGAAGATAGCCCAACCATCACCAGAAGGACCCCAAGCTCAGAAACTCACTCAGCAAGCCCTACCAAAGTAATACAGCTGCCAGATAACAAGGCGCACATTTTCCAGGAACATGTCTTTAAAAAACCCACATTCTGCGATGTATGCAACCACATGATTGTAGGTAAGACTCACAGTATACTAAAAGGCTTATCCTATTGTAATGTAGACTTGCCAAAGGCAGACCCTGGCTTAAGAATGAACTCAAGCTAAATACACTGAACTTATTTTTGCAACTTTGACATGTATTAGTAAAACTATGCATATCTTTGAAACTACCAGGTGCATCCAGATGAATTATACCTTGCTTTTTTAAGGACGAAACAGATCTTTATGTTTTGGATAATGGATATCTCATGATTTCTTTTATTATAAAAGAAAAACCGGCCCAAAATAGTAGCAAGAGAGGGCAATTAAACCAAATGTAATTATCAGACAGTGACTTAACTATAGCCATAGCAGAAGAGGGAGCTGCTATGGGGCCTGTGGTGGGAGAGGGCCCCATTAGGTTGCAGGAGTAGGAGTGGTTGCAGTTGACGACAACTCTAATCCCCTGTAAAGTCTACAGTGTAGAGATGGCTTTAGATGCTCAAGAGGAGTCATTGGTATCCTGGCAAATTACCCACAGTTTAGAGAGAGGTTATTGGGTAGGGCTATCACATTTTTTGCTATGGGGCCCCGTGATCTGTAGTTACGGACTGTTATAAGGTATCAGTCATACATTACAGACATTTTGCACCATGAAACTGTTCAAAATGCTCTATAATGACTTCCTTTGGAAAACAGACTAGTTTCTAATAATGTTGGACAGTGTCGTAGATTTTCTTACTAGGGTGGATGCAAAGGCCTTGATTGGACAGACAGGGGGGACAATGGTAAGTGGTATCACATTTTTCCTGCACATGCAGCACTGCTTCCTTGGGTGTGTAATGGTTAATGTGAAGGGAATGGGGTACAAAGAATGACTTTTTTTGTGTCTTCTAATATCCTCTGCAATTGATGGAGGTGCCCTCCGCACACCTTTCAGCAGTCCCGGCCAACAATCAAATAAATGGTGCTCGAAGTAACTTCACGGATGGCACCGTGCAAAACACAAGATTGAAGAAAATAGGTCACCAGCACTCCATAAGTTAAAATGAATGAGTCCTTTTAATGGACAATGATGTCACAGAAAGGCTCATGTTAGGCTCATGTTGGATTTCTGTGACATCATTGTCCATTAAAAGGACTCATTCATTTTAACTTATGGAGTGCTGGTGACCTATTTTCTTCATTCTAATATCCTCTGACTCTTCAGGATATGTGGGGTCTTGATAATGCATAAAATGCTCTATAATCGTTTCCTGGTACTACAGAAAGCTGTCAGAACCAGCAGATTTTATAGAGCACAAATGAGTTGTAGAGGGCCTCCTGGATCAGGTATACTGAAACGTCTTTATACCAGGTCTTTGTTTTTCTCTTGGCCAGTAAGGGCTGTAAGACCTGGTCAGATAGATCAACCCCACCCATGTACTTGCTGAATTTCGTGACACAGAGTGGCTTTTGCTTCGGTGTAACTGACCCGAATTACATTACAGCAACTTTACCCTCTGCACAGTTTGTCATCAGTATATATACTTCTTTCTGGTACGTAAACTTGATGGATAGCAGTTCCTTTTTCTGATAACTTATTAAAGTGCCTCACTGTAGATTTTGTTTCACCAGCTGCTGTGTGCAATCTTTGCGATTTCTTCCTTGTGGTCTCACATGCTCCCATGTTTGCAGCATGTAAAGATCTAAAAAACTGCACACTGGTGTAGACTTTATCCATGCATATGTGGTAGCCTTTGTCGAGCAGAGGGTGCATCAATTGGCAGAAAAGATTACCTTTTGTTCTTATATTTTCTGGGCAGCCTGGGGAGTAACCTTTCTCATATATTTTGAAAGCAAATGTGTTCTTTGTTGTGCTTTCACACAGTTTTAAGTGAACTTTAAGCAATTCAAAATCCAATATACCCATCGCACTCCTGACCGAATAATACCCTTAGAGTCGGGTGGGTGCCAAAGTGACTGCAGATGCCTCTGCAATCCAAGATAGGTTTATTGACTCGATTGCTATCACATCATGTAGCGACGTTTCGGAACAACAACAGCGGTTCCTTCTTCAGGAAAACAGAATCACTGGCTGTTTACATTTCAAGCTGATTTCCTAGGCGGCGTGCACGAGTGGGGCGGGAAGGGACGTTTAAAAACATCCATCCGCATCCAAGAAGAAGCTGTCTGGCCGTTTAATTACAACGGCCGGACAGCAGGTGGTTAAAGTAGCTTTTAGAATGCATGTTGTTAAATATATTTAATGGTAGAAAGCAATTTTATTCAATTCTGTGTAAAATATCTTGAATGCCACGCTAATATTACAAGTAATACAGGAATTGAATTGTATTGTATCAGTACTGTCTCCCTTTATTTTGTAAAGCAACGCTCAAGCTATTGGCACTATATAAATCCTGTATAATAATAATATTGATATTAGTTTATTATGCTATGTTTATTATGTATCATGCTCTTAAAGTGTATTTTAGTGCCTTTATCCTTTTCAGATCCCTCTCACCTCTCCCAGCATTTCTTTAATAAGCTACATGTCTCTAAAATTGAGTTCTCTAGTGAACTTTGCTTTCCAACTTGCTGGGGTACACATGTTTTCTTTAGAATCTTACAAGACCTGCACCTTACATTAGTCACATATTTGTTGCATTTTAGTTTTTATTAATATTTCTTGTAATACAAAACCAGAACAAGAAAAAAGGACAACAAGGGTCTAAAGAAGGAGAAAAACAAGGAGGCAGTCATATATAGCCTGTACCAAGAACATAATTACAAATCAGAAAGGAAGAATAAGAACAAAAATACCAAAGCAGCACAAATAAGGAGCTTTGATAAACAAATGGAGCTGTTACTTTTGAATAAAATGCAAGGAAAGTAGCTACAATACAAAAGTAAATCTAATCAGATACACCAGTAGCACAAAATGACAACCATTTTGACCAGATTGTGAAAAATGTTTTCAAAGTACCCCTCGACTGATAAGTGATACACTCAAATGCAATAATTTTATCAAGTTCTACATACCATGCAGGTACCTTGAGAGGGAAAGGAGAGATCAATCTACGTACTACTAGGTGGGTGGCCATATATAAAGCACGTTTAAGTGCTATTATTTTATGGGAGTCTAAGTCGGGGTAATAATGACGCCCAAAACACAAAGAAAAGGCAAATTAGTCAATACAGTATCAAAAACAAAATTAAGAAGTAAAAGTCACTTTATTAGAAAACTCAATAAAACGTTGAGAACTTGCTTTTGGGTTTTCCCAATACTTCCCAATACTAAAGTGAATTCACATTAACCCCTTCGTGACGGGAGACGTACACGGTACGTCCCGCCACAAAGGGACCAAATGACTTGTCACGTACACTGTACGTGACAAGTTATTTGCTGCACTAGAAGGCTGGTAACCGCTGGTAACAGAGGCATCCATTAATGAAAGGGTTAACCTTTTTCAGACACCAGATACCTGAAGATCGGGTGTCTGAGAGTCAAAGCAGAGCCGGCATGTTTGCCGGCTTTGCCGGCATTCTGACAGCTCGTATAGATCGAGAGATATCTCTCTCAAGCTTTACTGGCTTTTTTTTTTCACTTTCAGGAATAGATACATAATGTATCTTTCCTGAAAGAAGAATGTTTCAGTTTTCTGATCGTTGTTGTAACAATCAGAAAACTAGTGACAGCTGAATCCTGAACTGCTGCAGGATCAGTGTCACTAACTTATTATCGGCTGTTCTGAAGTTTGAAACAGCCTGATAATAACCAAAAATGTATTAATTTATCAAGCAGTAATAGTGAGATTAATTCACAATGACTGCTTGATATAATTAAATAAATAAAATAACATTTTTAAGTTTAAATAAAATAGTGAAAAGTGTAAAAAAAATGTGAAAAGTGTAAAAAAAACCAAAAAAAAATAAGTGTAATTTTTCTTAGCTGTGCTGGTTTTATAAAAAAAATACTACAAATCAAAACTGGGGAAAAGTGTTTTTTTTAAGTTTTTTCCTCTTTTTTTATATTTTATTTGTCCTAAGTGAGGCGTTAGACACACATATGTGATATAAATATGTAGCCCTATCTGTCCTCTAAAAAACAATATATAATATGTGTGGGTGCACTTTGTAAGAAAGTATATTACTGACGTGGAAGTCGTGAAATGTCAAAAGTGTGTCAGTCATTTACGAATAGAAACTAAAAACAAGCTCAGTCATGAAGGGGTTAAAGTGAATATACCCTCAGTTCCTATATGTTCATTGGGACAGGAAGAGAGTAGAAATCTCCCCAATAGGGAAACCGACAACAATAGATATCTACAAAGATGTTAGGAAAAAAGTTCCAACCCATTTTTTAGGTCCATACAAAACAGTTAATTTATTGGTCAAAGAACATGTATAAAATAGCTGACACATTTGGGGTTGTTACAAGTTCTCCCTTCATCAGGCCTTAATGTTGTGGGAAAAAAAGCCTTAGATAGAACACGCATGTGCGGACCAACAGGAAGAGTGGCTACCAAAAAGTGAAAGTGCAAAGATAAGCACCTTGGCACTCAAGCTATGGCTTTGGGAGTCAAGCTTGTGGCTGTCAGGGTCCTGCAAAGCCTCAAGGGACTTGTAGTTTACCTACCCCTGTGTTTGTGCATTAAAGAACATTGACACCCTAATGTACATTAGAAAGTGAAACAAAATTATCTTATCTGATACACAGTTAATTTTCTGTTTCTTCAGTTTTTGTAAGTACAAGGGTTTTGCAAGATTGTGGAGGTTAAGGACTTCTTAGCTTACAGCATCTTGCCAACAGTTTCTAGTGCCCCTCCATAGGGAAATGCTTTGGGGGAACATATATTACTGTATTCAGCAATTTCCCTTTTAACCACCTCCGGGTCTGTGAACGGCCGGACGGTAGTCTTGTAGGAGTGGGAGGGCGTCTTAAGACGTCCTGCCCCTCCTCCTGCTCGTGTGCGGCGCTCGGCACACACACGAGTGGGGAAACTGTCAGCATGTAAACAGCCAGGGATGGCTGTTTACATTCAAGCGATCGGGCAT